AACCTTCCTATTAAAGCAGCATGCTCATCTGCTTAAAAAAAAACAGTGAAAAATAAGAAAGTAAGACTCCACAGATATCTGGGAAGTTTTCTCAGTGTCTTGGTGGCTTATGAATTTTCTTAAAATACTAAAAGTTGTTTAATATTTTAACTCCCTTCTAACACCTCTGAAAATGAGCTGAAGGTAAAACTTCACGTGTTTCTCCAGCATCACTGCATAGCTGCAAGACAAGGCATTCTGCAGGAATTATACATCATTTTCCAAGTAAAATTGCACCTGAAATATATGGGGTATTTTGTTGTTGTTGTTTAAATGGTTGTACTGATACTGTTCACAGCTGAGTTGTGGAACCAAATAGATGTGCCTTTAATCTGTTTTTAAATGATCTGGTATATTCTGGAGATTATAATCTGAAGGGCAGCTGCCATAGTGATGCGCCAGTCACCGTGGCGGCTGAACATGATGAAAAGAAATTCTGGGCTGCACCAAGACAAAGCCACCAATTAGGATTTCAAACTGATCAAAGGGGGGAGACTCAAAAGTTTGCCAATAAATGTAGCTCAGGGGATGGCACTAGAAGTTAGAGTTTGCTTTTCACAAATGTATAAAGATTTTCGTTCTATCAATATAATGTCGATTTTTATAAATAATAAGCCTTAACACAGACTTCATCCATTTGCTGTGCTAACTTTTTTCAGTTGCGTGAAGAGTATGGCTGTAGGGTTTTATTTCACTGACCTAGTGAAGAAGCAGTTTATGGTTCTGTTTTATATGAATATTTAGAACTTTTTTCTCCTTAGAGAATTTTTAACTTTAAAGTGAAATTAAGGAAGTTAATGAACAAAAGGGGTCTTCTGTAGTCTATTGGTAGATATCCCCAGTCTCTAAACCATTTTGCCGTCTGCTTTCGTAATTCTATTCTAATTCTCAAACAAAGCTAAAATTAAATCGTCATTTAAAAACAAGCTTATTTTGTCTTAAATAACTGCTTGTCACTTGTTGTTTGAAAGAGGACTGCTTTGGCGTGAATTCCAAATCCCGTTATGATCTTAACTCCAGCAGTTTGTTTAATCAAACATTACTCTAATAAGCCTTACATGGTCCCCTACCCGCGCAGGCCCGTCTAGAACAACTGGTTTATTCTGCGACGAGTTGCTCAACAGATGTCATTCTGGTAGAATAATGCAGCAGAATACTTGTGCGTTGGCTAAAATTACCTCAACTTTGATCACTTTTGTCCAGCACATCAGTGTGGCATTGTGCTTTATACCAACATAACACTTTACCCCGAGCATGCCTTTCAAGCTTAGAATAGCAGAGGAATGTTATTGAATTCAGTGCAGTTACAGATGAGTTAATGAAAGAAGGGAAATACTGTTTTTTTCATAATGCCTTTCTGTTGTGCTTTGGAATTAAAAGGGAATTTGAGGAATGTGACTTCTGAGTTATTTATTTTTTACTTCTGAGGGCTTTTTGAAAACAATATTATGTAGTTGTATTGATCCCACGTTTCTGTAAATAACTTTCACTTGTTATTTTAAAGTAGCTCATTTTAGAGTTTTATGTTGTCAAAATAATATCACTAAGACTTTTTGGATGCGTAATTGGAGAACAGTTATTCCACAGGGACAGTTTATTGCCATCTTTAATGCAAGAAAACTCAGATAGCACGAACCGTGTTCTTGTGATCACAGATCAGCATTGTTACATTTTGATGGGCTGTGGTGGGGTCAGTAGGGAGTAATGGCATCCCTTTACCTTGATACTACTACGAAACGAATACTGCACAGCGGGCTGCCTCCTTGTTAAGCAGCAGTGAAGAAAGGCTGTTTGTTTTGAACAGTGGGAGTGAGATCATATACCAAGTTCTATAGAGTTCGGTCTTCCATAATTCCGTTTTTCACAGCTCCGTGTGTGTGTATATGTACATGCATATATATGCGTATTTGAAATGTATTTAAATACAATTTTTTAATCATTAAGATATATTTGTATATTTTAAAGCATGACAACATGCTTAAATATGAGGAAACACTAAGATGAAGTACACTTTGATTACTAATAAATACTTCAGTATTCTGTCTCTAAACAAAAATAATGTTCTTGGTTTAGTTTTTTAAATTAAAATATAATTTTTAAATTAAAATATAGTTGTAAAATCTCTTAATTAAACGTCATTACCAGATTAGTCCCCCTGGAAAACTTGTGAACAAACCCAATATTAACATAAAGGTTATTGGGCATACGTGTAACTTACCTGTTGAACAAAAAAAGGAGAGATATCTTAAGGATTTTAAAACATACAATGAATCTGAAGCTGAGCTGAAAACCCAACCAAAATGAAATGTCTGGATAAGGCACTCACATGATCTGACTCTCAGCCTTTACTGAGACGTAGAATCAGAATTGGAAGTGATGTGTCTTGCAGTTGGGTAATAGATGGAAGCTGTTGTTTTCCACTCATCTGTGCAGAATATTTATATTTATAAAGCACTAAACTGGTAATACTGAAATTATTATCTGCGTAGCCTAGTTAACAGTAGCAATTATTTTTCCCATGCCAACGTATTAAATCTATCCAGAAAAGTGAAGCAGTTCTTTGCTTTTTTTACTAAGGGAGCACTTTATTTGTATAAAATAATGCTGCTGCTACTACTACTGAAAGTAGTGAAAATAAGCAACAATAATTGTATGGAGAACCTGAGAACTGGAAATACGGTAGTAGCACTGTACTTTATGTTTGCTCTCTCTATGCCTTGAATTTTCTCAGTAATATTAATTTGTTGGCAAGTTCACACAGCAGTGCCATGAAGAGTCTTTAGGAGAACGTTACCCAAATCAGCGTTTGTGAGAAAGCGTACATGTAGTAATCCCTGCCCCCTCCCTCACCTCCTTCGGGTGTTTATGATGATTAGAGCAGTTCTTTTAGCACTTAGTTTCTGCACATGTATCCTTCATCCCTGTATTAATGTGCTTGAACTATGTGTAAAATTTGAAAGAAAGAGTCCATGCAGCATTTCTTGCTGAAGATGATCCTGAGAAAAAGAGTTTTGGTGCTTTTTCACTATGCAGACACATTTTTTAGATCGATATCTACTGCCAGATGTTATATATGCATTCTGTACTAAAAATAAATGCCAAATTTTGAGGGAACATATGCACATTCCATATGTTTATATTACCATGTTACCTTACCACATATTCAGAACTCAGCTGAGCTTCGGAGATGAAGCTATGGCAAGTACTCATTAATAGTTAGGGTCAAATTATGTAAAATGTCTGTATTGTAGATCATGCTTTTTTTATTGTATTATCTCCTGAAGAATGGTAGTTTAGAATCACTTTTCATTCTGTTCTTAAATACAAAACCTTTACATAGATGGATTATGTTAGCATTGCTCATTTTGACAAATGTCAGCTTTCTTCCATATTTTTCTAATCACTTTTCTGTTCAGATGAAGTTGTTAACTTAGGGTAAGAATGCTAGGTTGTGAGCAAGTTGTTAGTTCAGAGACATTTTTTCATCTAACAGCTATATTTTTTTTTTCAGTTCATGGAACTTTTAGTGCTACTCATAGCAGAAGTTAGAACACAATTAATTCTTGTTTCTTTCCAGTTGACAAGTGAACAAATGAAAAGCTAAAGAAGGCATCAGAGGACAGTTCTTGGAGTAGTCTTGGCATTTGCTTTAAGTCAAATCTTATCCATCTGCCTTAATATCTTTTGATTTAATGCATCACACACTTGGTTCTTGTGTCTGTTAGCGTGAGTCTGTTCAGCCCTCTTAGAGCTGGAAATGGGACGCAGCACTTCTGACTTCCTCAGATTTTCTGTGTAGCGAATGGTCATGTGAAATGTTAGTAGAATGTATCAAACCCTACATTTATCTGTTTGTGAATATTTTTTCTGTATGTAATACCGATTTTTGAGATAAAATAGACCTGTGAAGATATGGGAGGGCCTTGTATTCCCATGTGGCAGTTTTATGGAAGACAACCCAAAAGCCCCCATTGCTCACTGTAAGCATTTTATTGTTCACGGGTCTGGTCCAGCTGGGCAATATTTACAGGTGCTGGATGCTTGTGCAGTCGTTACTTCCAGGTATAGGATGTTGTTCAGAATTTAAGATATCACTCTCTGTCCCAGCTACAAAAGTAGATCACATTGTGGTTTGAATAACTGCTTGTCACAAAACCTGTGATGAATCATACCAGCTTTTTAATCGGTGTTAATGGTTTTGTGGAAAAAGTTTTGTAACTCTTGCATTTTGCAGTGTTCTTCCTGTATTTAAACTTGCAACTTTTTCTTCTTTGCCCCTCCCTTCCTCCTGACAACCAACATGTGAGATGAGTAATGGCATTTTAATAGTGTGGGAAAAGTGTTGATGTAAAAACCAGTTTGTTTGCATTTTGTTAATAGATGTTTGAAATGTGTTGTCTTCACTGAAAATGTACTTATTAGTTTTTATTTTCATGTCTAATATACTCTCAGATTTTCAGATCTCATTTAAGAAACTTATGCAAAACTAGTTGCATTTTTTAATTACAATAAATGTAGCATGAACCTATAATTTTCAGATGAAATGGAATATATTAACCAGCAAAACCTGTAACTGAATTTTTGTTATTACCTTCTGCATCCCCTCGGTTTATTTATTACTTTTTAATACTTTTTACTGTGAAAATTTGTGTAATGAATGGTTTTATGTATTTATGGTACTTCAGTTACAATGAATCATTATGAATGACACATTATAGATTTATTTTTTTTCCTTTAACATAGTTTGTTCGCTTGCTTTCAGCAACACTGAATTTCAGCAGTGCTGTGTGTAAATCTGTGGACCAGATCTGGATCTTTGAGTGCTGGAGGAACTTGTTTTACAATAGTTGAAAAAAAAAGTAAAATAAAAAGCTGGGGATTATGATGAAACGAATGCAATTTGCCTGTATGCTTTTGTTAGTACAAATTCTGATTTTTTTTATTTTTTATTTTTCTACCAGGTAAAGCGGAATGTGTATGACCTAACCAGTATCCCTGTCCGTCACCAGTTATGGGAAGGCTGGCCTCCTTCTGCCACAGACGACTCAGTAAGTCACTTTGGGTCTCATTTAATTTGTTCCTAGAAATAGCTGAATTTACTTGTTTTTTTTTTTATCAGAATCATCCAGTAGCTTTTGTTGTCTGGTATGCAGTAACCTGTCATAACATAATAATTCCTACCACATAATCATAACACATAATTCAGAGCTTTATCTTGACAGATAAAATTGCTAAAGGACTGGCTTACTGAAGCACATTTCCATGGAAATTATTTGTGTGTATCAAATTCAATGCATGTTTTAGACTGGGAGGAGCAAAGTTGTGCAACGTTTTGGAAGCTGAGGAGGTCGGTCTATTGCAGTGACTGAACTTCAGGAAAAAGTTCTGTATTTTACGTGCATTCCGAGTGTATATCTAGATATTTTCCTCAGTTGTGTCCATCAGATCACTGGTATTCTTAAATCTGTGTCTGGCTTTTTAGAGTTATCTACCTTGGCTCATGCTGGGCCAGTAAGAATGTGTGGACGTTTGCAAGATTACACATTGAAATAATAAATAATCTGCGTAACAGTTAAATGTTTATTCAATTTTCAGACATATTTTGCAGGTTTTAGAATCACCTTTATTTAGAAATGGAAGGAAATCTTAGCTGAGATCAATGTGTGTACCCTTTGTAACAGAATCAGCTGACTTTGGATTTCCTACAGACCCGTGAAATTGTGGGACTTGCTTCCTTGTATGGTTGTATGTTACAGCACGTCTGTCAGTTTTGCTCAGAAAGTTTTCTTCTGGTAGTATGTTCCCAATGTATGTTCTTCTGGCAGTATATTCCTCCAACTAGTGAGATCTGCCTTTTGTTTTGTTTGGGTTTTTTTTGTTGTTGTTGTTTTTTTTTTTTTAAAAAGGGCACCCAAAAGTGAAATAATCATGTAGTTATGCTGTATATAGATTTTTGTGACCTGAGAAAAATGTAGAAAAAATAATTTCTCTTTTTATACAATCATTTATTTAAACTAGGGGTTGAACCTGAATATTCTACAAAGTGAAAATGGAATCAGGATTTGCTTTCTCTGTGTATTAACATTATCTTTAATACATTACTTTCCTGTCTGTTTCTACTCTGCTTCTTGTAAAACAGAGAATTGAGTTGCTGTTTGTATGATAAAACTGTTGCTTTTTTGCTCTGGGTAAAGGATTTATGCCAATCAAAAACAAAAAAAAAAAGCAAAGACTGCCAAGACTGTCTGAATTCCTAATATACTTGTAAAATACGTCTGTGGTCGTGTTTGCAGAAACAGTAGTTAAGTGTGAGAGAGGTGGGTAAATCTATGTCCATGTATTCAGGAGCATAACTGAGACGATAGAGGTAAGATCTGAAATAACAGCATGGTGACATGTGGTAATTACAGTCTTTGAAATGGGGATCCATTTTAACATTTTATTAGTTTACATTAGCCCAAAAAAGAATTGGAAACTCAACACTTCTAATCCGTTTTCCCACAGCTGTTAGGTTTTCCTGTATTTCCCCCCTCTGCCTTTCTTTTGAATAGGATACCTCACGTATGTAAAACGCATAAGTCTGTTTAAAGTCTGTTTTTACAAGTGACATTGTTGCAGGTGAATTTTTCCCCTTTTCATCTTTAATGAAATCGATGAATGTTGAGTCATCTGCTCCAAAGCAGGAGAGTCCTCAAAGCTCCAGTCTGGTGCAGCTGAGACTTGTCAGCTGTGTAAACAGATTTGAATGTGTTACCAGCAAAATTATAATTAATTTCTGTCTAAAATTGGAGGCCATGCCTTACTATTTATAAAGATTTAATGTTAGCAACGACTATCTATGATTCTGTGATCTGGGCATTTTTTCCTTTGCGATAGAGAAATATTCAGTAATAATTACTTGAGTAATTAGTCATGATGTCTTTAGTTGGGTGGCAAATTTTAAAAATCACTTTTTTTCCTTCGTTAGTTTTTAATTTGCTGTATTGTGTAGTACTCTGTTGCAATTAAAGAGTTAAACAAAGACTTGATTAAAATACTTTTTCATTTACATGTTATGCAGCATAAGAAATACTTTGTAATACCGCAGGAGGTTTTTTCAGTGCAGTTCTCGTTAACCTTTGCCTTAGCAAACAGGGCAACTAAATAGACTCCGCATAATTGGATTCCTGTATCATCTTGAGTCTCTTATGAACCTGACAGACTACAGTCTTCCTTGACATTATCAGGAAATTTAGTGGAGTCAGTAGTCATTTAAAACATTGGCGCTTCATCTCCCTTCAGAGTTATGTTAAGTTCCCTGCTTGTACTGTCTAATGAAATATGAGATACTGTATGAATTGTCAATAACTCTTTCATCAATAAAGATCCTTTTGCACACTTTCACCAGGGAAATAGGTATCAAAACCCCCACATGCAGGAGCATGTTTTCGTGCTGTGACAGTTTGACTGCGGGAAGCAAGGCATACGTAGTCTGGAAATCTCACTTTTACCTTTAGTTGTGCCTGAATAATTTTAGTGCCACTAATTCTATCTGATCTGCTGATAAGGTTCAAACAAAGTAAATGTATGAGTTTTAAATGTGGTTTGGTTTGTTTTTTAACAAGTTTACCTAAGTAAAACTGTAATTATATTAAAGGCTTAATTTATCTATTTTGGGGCATATATCGTCAACTGATACAATAAAGTCTTGAAAATTATCCTAGAAAATGAAAAAATAATTATAATTTTATTTAAATAGATTCACAGTTTGTTCTCAATTTTTATTTTGGATTTTGTAACAACCTTGACATTACTGAGCTCGTAAAAATTGAGCCAAACCAGAATAATTTACTGAAACTTCTGAAATGTGCTCCACTTTTCTTTGCTATATTGGCTGATCTAAACTTCCACTGGTAATTACTGCTGTTGCCAAGTGGAATGAACAACCGGCAAGTATCTGTGCATAAAAAAAGTCTGACATCAGTGGTAGGTGGTGTCTCAGTTACAGTTTTTACATGGAGGCATTGTGATTATATTTATATAAGTGCAGATTACTTTTTGGATATTAGTTTTACACTTGTATGTTTGAGGTACAACTTTTTTTCCCTGTGAGGTCACTTGGTTTTGATTTATTTTGGTAGGATGAGTTTTTGATGCTGATGCTTCTGTTGATTTTTGGTAGCATAGAGAAGGAGAGAGGTTGCTTTTGTGCTGCTTTTGTTCTCAGTATTTAAGATAAAGCTTTTTTAAAATTGATTTGTTGTTTTAAGTCATTTCAGCATAGCCATGAGAAATGCCTGCTTCTTCATAAGTGACGACAGCAAGCTTGTCAAAATGGAATATATATATTTTTGCATTAAAAAGATGTAAAAGTTTTAGGAGGAGGTTTGAGGAGGGAAAAAGGGAGACAAAGACAGAGGATGAAGCACTGGGTGTTGTAGCTGTGCCCTTGCATGCAGATCCCGTACAGAGGAGCTCAACATCCTTCCTTCCACCTACTGCTGGTAATGTGTTGTTTTCCTAAATGGTATGGTTGGTCAAGACCTCGTATCCTCATTTCAAGATGAGTAACTATGCTTCTGTACTGTATAGATAAGCCAGTGCATATTCACTTAGACAGCTGCACGACTGGATGTGACGTGTGTGTAGCCACTGACGTCATCCCCGGTGAGCATGACCACCTTCAGTTCTGCGACAGCTGTAGCAGACGTGGTTGTTGTATCTTAGCTGGATTTGAGAAGGACTTCTAGGTTGCAATCAAAATTCTCTAGCGCTTATGTATGATGTAATTAGCACTGCTGTTATCTTTAGCTATTTCATTGCTAAGTACTAAGTGCAGTCTATCTGCACAGCTAGAAATTAAGAATGCTGATAAAATAGTGTTCTGGTACAAAGTCAAACCATTTATGATACTTTTTGGCTGATCTCCAGATTTTTGCAGAGGTTGAGTATTAAGCATCTGAGTATTTGGAATTATGTATTTCTCTCTCTTTCCGGGTCTTACGAAGGCTTTCTGAAGAGAAAGCTGATTACTGCATGCTGTCATTGTAATATGAAAACAAGTTGTGAGGTTTTCGTATGCTGGCTGTTCAGTTGTAGTGGATGCCATGTCTGCATTTGCTGGGTTGCTTGGAATTTTCCCCATGGGACTGATATGCCTCAGGAGTGAGTAGTCCTGACAGAGAAAGTGTCTATTAATCGAAAGCCTAAAATTGACTACATTTAGATTAAAAGACATACATCATTAGAAAATACTCAACTATTTTTTTTTTCTGTATGAGAATATCATAGTTATAATGTGGATTGTCTGTAATGTTCATTACTTTGTGTGTTACTTTCCTTCTGCGGTTCTCATCAGTCGCTTGCAGTAGAATAGTAGAGTGGATCTGGCAGGATCCTTTCAGTTTAGGTACTTGGGAGAATACTTGCCATCTGTTTTGTTGTGTGGGTTCAGGAATGTGGTAAAGTTTCAATTTAACATTTAGACTATAAGCCCAACTCAGTAGTGAAAATCGCTAGACATTACCCAGTCTTGGAAGTTCATTGTAATCTAAGAAGCAGCACATTCATCATCATTAAGAAACAGAGAAGTAACTGAGTAATTTAATAAACAGTTCCTAAATGCCTTTATTTTAGATAACCTTACTGACTTTGACTTATTGCTTGCTTGGTTATTTTTATGTGGATGAAAGTATGATGAATTATCACGTTCTTTCCCCAGACGAAACAGGAATGTTATAGTTGTTCCTTCACAATTTTTTTTACCCCACCCCTTGTCTATTTTTATTTATAAAAATAAGGATAAAGTAATTGGAATTAATTTTGTTTACATAAAAATTACCATGTCAGGGATAATCAGTTTTGTGGTTTGTTTGTACTTTTTCATCACAAGAGAATTTATTTAGGATTGTCCAATTTTAAAACATAAAATAACTCAATTGAAATGATCTATATCTGTCACGTTGCTTTTGGAAAGGGTTTATTTCCTCACTGCCGTGTAACGAGACTTATGGAAGTGCAAGAAGTGCACACTCGAGAACAAAACCCGTTGCATCAGTATATTAGAAAT